GTTTGAGCCAGTCAGTTGTGTTGTGACAAGGAAGAGGTGGTATACAGAAGATAGCCCTATTTGGTAAAATACCAAGTCCATATTCTGGCAAGAACAGCTCAAATAAGCAAAGAGAAACGACAGTCCATCATTACTTTAAGACATGAAGGTCAGTCAATACGGAACATTTCAAGAACTTTGAAAGTTTATTCAAGTGCAGTCGCAAAAATCATCAAGCGCTATGATGAAACTGGCTCTCATGAGGACTGCCACAGGAAAGGAAGACCCAGAGTTACCTCTGCTGCAGAGGATAAGTTCATTAGAGTTAACTGCACCTCAGATTACAGCCCAAATAAATGCTTCACAGAGTTCAAGTAACAGACACATCTCAACATCAACTGTTCAGAGGAGATTGCGTGAATCAGGCCTTTCTGGTCGAATTGCTGCAAAGAAACCACTACTTAAGGACACCAATAAGAAGAAGAGACTTGCTTGGGCCAAGATACACAAGCAATGGCACAGGCAGGGAGCCCAGCGAACAGTGAGTTGCAGTAATCCAGATGGGAGATGACAAGTGCCTGGATTAGGACCTGTGCCGCTTCCTGTGTAAGGTAGGGTCGTACTCTGCGAATGTTGTAGAGCATGAACCTACAGGATCGGGTCACCGCTTTGATGTTAGCGGAGAAGGACAGGGTGTTGTCCAGGGTCACGCCAAGGTTCTTTGCACTCTGGGAGGAGGACACAACGGAGTTGTCAACAGTGATGGCGAGATCATGGAGCGGGCAGTCCTTCCCTGGGAGGAAGAGCAGCTCCATCTTGCCGAGGTTCAGCTTGAGGTGGTGATCCGTCATCCATACTGATATGTCTGCCAGACATGCAGAGATGCGATTCGCCACCTGGTTATCAGAAGGGGGAAAGGAGAAGATGAATTGTGTGTCGTCTGCGTAGCAATGATAGGAGAGACCATGTGAGGATATGACAGAGCCAAGTGACTTGGTGTATAGAGAGAATAGGAGAGGGCCTAGAACTGAGCCCTGGGGGACACCAGTGGTGAGAGCACGTGGTGCGGAGACAGATTCTCGCCATGCCACCTGGTAGGAGCGACCTGTGAGGTAGGACGCAATCCAAGAGTGAGACGCGCCGGAGATGCCCAACTCGGAGAGTGTCGAGAGGAGGATCTGATAGTTCACAGTATCAAAGGCAGCAGATATGTCTAGAATGATGAGAGCAAAGGAGAGAGAGTTAGCTTTAGCAGTGCGGAGAGCCTCCATGACACAGAGAAGAGCAGTCTCAGTTGAATGACCAGTCTTGAAACCTGACTGGTTTGGATCAAGAAGGTCATTCTGAGAGAGATAGCAAGAGAGTTGGCTAAAGACGGCACGCTCAAGAGTTTTGGAGAGAAAAGAAAGAAGGGATACTGGTCTGTAGTTGTTGACATCGGAGGGATCGAGTGTAGGTTTTTTGAGAAGGGGTGCAACTCTCGCTCTCTTGAAGACGGAAGGGACATAGCCAGTGGTCAAGGATGAGTTGATGAGCGAGGTGAGGTAAGGGAGAAGGTCTCCAGAAATGGTCTGGAGAAGAGAGGAGGGGATAGGGTCAAGCGGGCAGGTTGTTGGGCGGCCGGCCGTCACAAGTCGCCAGATTTCATCTGGAGAGAGAGGGGAGAAAGAAGTCAAAGCATAGGGTAGGGCAGTGTGAGCAGGACCAGCGGTGTCATTTGACTTAATAAATGAGGATCGGATGTCGTCAACCTTCTTTTCAAAATGGTTGACGAAGTCGTCCACAGAGAGGGATGAGGGAGGGGGATTCAGCAGGGAGGAGAAGGTGGCAAAGAGCTTCCTTTTATCTTTGCAATTTCAAAATGGTACAGTAAAATAGCTCCCAGTCCATAAACATAGATAGGGGAGTAGTTGTTCTCTATTAATCCATTGAGTTCAACTGCCATTATTACCATGTGTATATGTGCATTTTCAAAATGGTACGTATTTGAAACAGTATGTTAAACTTTCATTGATTCTCCAATATGGGATATACTGTATATCTTATGGAATATAAAATGAAACTAACTTAGTAATTACTTGCAATTGCAATCCATTTGAATGAGCTCTTCAATTTAAGTCATAACTATTCATATTTTTTATTATCATATTTGACAATAGGTTATAATCATTATAAAAATCTAATCATGGCTTTATTATTCAGTATACGATTTTAATCAGATCTGTGCCTTTATAAAGTGCTTAGATGTTTCTTTGCTGCAAGACTATTTCTGACCTATTTCATGACATCCAAATGCAATCATAGTTATGTGGAATCTCAATCACTAAAGAGGGTTGAACCAAACAACCCCCTGGGAGAAATTGTCTTGTGGTAGAAGGTGATAGTTGCTGATAGAGCAATTCCTCTTATCTCAAAAGCTGACAATTGGAAGCATATTGCAACCATGATAACAGGTAATATCAACAGTAAAAGCATATCTTCACTACAAGTGAAAATATTGTATGTAGGCTGATCAATGCAGTGTAAACATTGTTTATTATGTAGCCTCCATTACTACAAATCAATTGTGGAAGAATATTGCCCTTCACCTGCAGCTGGAAAGTTTTATTTTTATGTTTTCATTATCTGTAATTAAGTTATCATCTGAACAAAAATATAAACGCAACATGCAACAATTTCAAAGATTTTACTGAGTTACAGTGGCTTGCGAAAGTATTCACCCCCCTTGGCATTTTTTCTATTTTGTTGCCTTACAACCTGGTATTTAAATGGATTTCTGGGGGGGTTTGTATCATTTGATTTACACAACATGCCTACCACTTTGAAGATGCAAAAACATTTTTTTGTGTGTGAAACAAACAAGAAATAAGACAAAAAAACAGAAAAAACTTGAGCATGAATAACTATTCACCCCCCCCAAAGTCAATACTTTGTAGAGCCACCTTTTCAAATCAAATCAAAATGTATTTGCCACATGCGCCGAATACAACAGGTGTAGACATTACAGTGAAATGCTTGCTTACAAGCCCTTAACCAACAATGCAAAGAAAAAAAAGAATAAAAAAGTGTTAAGCAAAAAAAAATGAAAGCAAATAACTAAAGAGCAGCAGTAAAATAAAATAACAGTAGGGAGGCAGCATACAAGGGGGTACTGGTGCAGAGTCAATGGGGCACCGTCTAGTCGAGGTAATTGAGGTAATATGTACATGTGGGTAGAGTTAAAGTGACTATGCATAAATAATAAACAGAGTAGCAGCAGAGTAAAAAAGGGGGACGGGGTGTCTTATGGCTTGGGGTTAGAAGCTGTTGAGAATCCTTTTGGACCTAGACTTGGCACTCCGGTACCGCTTGCCGTGCGGTAGCAGAGAGAACAGTCTATGACTAGGGTGGCTGGAGTATTTGACAATTTTGAGGGCCTTCCTCTGACACCGCCTGGTATAGAGGTCCTGGATGGCAGGAAGCTTGGCCCCAGTGATGTACTAGGCCGTACGCACTACCCTCTGTAGTGCCTTGCGGTAGGAGGCTGAGCAGTTGCCATACCAGGCGGTGATGTAACCAGTCAGGATGCTCTCGATGGTGCAGCTGTATAACTTTTTGAGGATCTGAGGACCCATGCCAAATGTTTTCAGTCTCCTGAGGGGGAATAGGCTTTGTCGTGCCCTCTTCACGACTTTCTTGGTGTGTTTGGACCATGATAGTTTGTTGGTGATGTGGACACCAAGGAACTTGAAGCTCTCAACCTGTTCCTCTACAGCCCCTTTGATGAGAATGGGGGTGTGCTCAGTCCTCTTTTTTTTTCTTCCTGTAGTCCACGATCATCTCCTTCGTCTTGATCACGTTGAGGGAGAGGTTGTTATCCTGGCACCACACGGCCAGGTCTCTGACCTCCTCCCTATAGGCTGTCTCATCATTGTCGGTGATCAGGCCTACCACTGTTGTGTCGACGGCAAACTTAATGAAGGTGTTGGAGTCGTGCCTGGCCATGCAGTCATGGGTGAACAGGGAGTACAGGAGGGGACTGAGCACGCACCCCTGAGGGGGCCCCGTGTTATGTGTTGTTACCTACCCTTACCACCTGGGGGCGGCCCGTCAGGGGGTGCGTGCTTTTGCAGCAATTACAGCTGCAAGTCTCTTGGGGTATGTCTCTATAAGCTTGGAACATCTAGACACTGGGATATTTGCCCATTCTTCAATGCAAAACTGCTCCAGCTCCTTCACATTGGATGGGTTCTGCTGGTGTACAGCAATCTTTAAGTCCAACCACAGATTCTCAATTGGATTGAGGTCTGGGCTTTGACTAGGCCATTCCAAGACATTTAAATGTTTCCCCTTAAACCACTAAAGTGTTGCTTTAGCAGTATGCTTAGGGTCATTGTCCTGCTGGAAGGTGAATCTCCGTCCCAGTCTCAAATCTCTGGAAGACTGAAACAGGTTTCCCTCAAGAAGTTCCCTGTATTTAGCGCCATCCATCATTCCTTCAATTCTGACCAGTTTCCCAGTCCCTGCTGATGAAAAACATCCCCACAGCATGATGCTGGGATGGTGTTCTCGGGGTGATGAGAGGTGTTGGGTTTGCGCCAGACATAGCGTTTTCCTTGATGGCCAAAAGCTCAATTTTAGTCTCATCTGACTTGTTGAAGCCTGTCAGTCTTTTTTTGTTAACCCCTATTTAACAAATATATATTTGAAAGGGGGTAACCTATACTAGTAATGGCTCATAACCTTCATGCAAAATACTTTTTGTCAGATGAGAAATTATTCGATTACATGACAAGAATGCCCAGTCAGAACCATTTGTGCCATAAATTCAATATAGATCTATTCTCAATAGCTACTATTGCATGTCAGGACCTACAGTACTATTTAGGACTAGCGTAGCATGGACCTCTATACAGTATGCTGCAAAGCATGCTGAAAAGCATCAGTGTGTGTGCGTGTGTGTGTTTATGCATGTGTGTGTGTGTGATTGCGTGCAAGTTTATGTGTGTGTGTTTGTGTTTGTGTGTGCATGTGTATGTGAGAACTAAAGTCTGATGCCTGTCCCTACAGCAGTCCACGGAGTGGTCATGGCAGGTGCTGAGGTCACAGTGTCCTCAAGGAATATAGTGATGGTGAAGGAAGAGGAGGAGGAAGGGGAGCCCTGTGAGAGCCATAAGACTCAGGTCATCCTCCACCTGCAGCCCATCATACAGGGGTAAGACTTTAAACCACAGCTACAATGCAAAGAGGGGGCACTGGACACAACAGGGTGGAGGGTTTGAGTTACCATTTGGACAAAATGCAAAAGTCTAAAAATTCTGTTTGCAATTAGTAACTAATTTACTTTACACAGTAACGATAATGTAATTACACTAAGAAATTACAAATGTAACAAAAAAGTTTTTTTTACAAAATGTACATAAGTGTGCTTTTCTAGACATCCAAGTTGTCAGTTATAAGATCAAGAGTAAGATAAAACTGTTGTTGAAGTGTAGAATTCTGACAGCATGTTCTGTTATATACTGTACATTGTAACAGCTGCCTCAGTGGGAGTGGTGAATATTGTGTGAAATAGTGGACTTTGTCGCCTCCTACAGGGCAAATGAGGACAACGCTAACACTGGATCCTCTGTCCTAGCCATAGAGACACACAATGGTAAGATTCCACAAGACGCTTTGTTTCTATTCCTTATTTATATGACCAGTATTTTAATTCATTACTACATTCAACGTAGAGATTAGATTTGTATTGTATACATCATCTAGTAATTTTTAAAAACGGGATAAATCATTTGTATTTGTTTTGTTGTGTTTTTGATGTATGGATGCTTGCTTGTGATATTGTGTGTGTTATGTACTGCGTGTTTATATTGTGTTTTACCATTATGAATGTTAGAAGACAATCTTGCGGAGGGTGAGGAGGTTGAGTATGGATACCCCATCACCTGTGGCGAAAGCAAAGCAGTCCTCCTGTTTAAGAAGTTTGTCTGTCCTGGCATCAACATCAGATGTGTCAAGGTACCAGGATGCCTCTTTAGTCATCAAGTAACTTGTTCATAAGTACTGAATGTCACTAAGAAACATGCTGGTGTACGTGTGTGTGTGTACGTGTGTGTGTGCTGTTTTTTTTTTGGGGGGGGGGGGGGGGGGGGGGGTTGTGTGTGTGTTTGTGTGTGTGTGTTCGTGTTCATAGATAATTTTGCTTTCCACTGTCAATATGAAAGCATGTGAGATTTGTAATTCTTATTTAACTCTTTCTGTGCCTGTGATTCTCTGTGTTGCTTTCCCTCCTCCCTGCAGTTCAATGACCAGCTGATCAGCCCCAAGCAGTTTGTTCACATGGCAGGGAAAGCCACGCTGAAGGACTGGAAGAGGGCCATCCGACTGGGAGGGGTGATGCTCAGGTAGGCTGCGTCATACTGGGTGGAGGACAGGGTTTACATTTACATTTTGGTCATTTAGCAGACACTCTTATCCAGAGATACTTACAGTCAGTGCATTCAACTAAAGTAGGTAAGACAACCACATATCACAAGTAAAAACGTTATTGAATAAAGCAGCTATCAGCAGAATCAGTGCTAGTACAAAAAAGACAAGTGCAGGTTGGGGTCAATATGTGTCTGGGATCTTCTTGTTTTGCCTGCATTGGGGCAACTGGAGTTTTTTGCCAATACATTCCACTAGCAGTTAGTAAGCAGCGTTCTTGTGGTGGTAGGATCACATATCACGCTGTCAAATTGCTGAGTGATGCATTTCTCACCCCATCTTCGTGTTTGCACTTGTTCTCTGTCTAACGGTGGTTTAGTCTGCTGCCTTCAGCCCTACATATCAGATCAGAAGCTTTTGTTACAAGCAAAACTTTGAAAAAACATTTAATACACATATTACACAACCAGAAGTGTTAGCTATTTTCTGACTGGATTAGATATAGTGATAACACTGTTTATTATTATATAACTAATCATAAAATAAATATACTGAACCATTCTCCAACTCCTCTCTTATGTCCTCTATGCAGGAAAATGATGGACTCAGGTCAGATTGACTTCTACCAGCATGACACAGTGTGCACCAACACCTGCCGCAGCACCAAGTTTGACGTGTTGATCAACAGCACCCGCTTCCTTCCGGGCAGCGCCATGCAGCCCCCCCCTTCCCCTCTGCCCAGTGAGCCTATCAGCCAAGGGCATACCTAACTACAGTACACTTTTACTATGGGCATTTATCTCTCATATTCCGTGGCTGCTGACATTTATTATACTGCTGTTTTTATCCCTGCACAAACTACACTTCCCCGTCATAAACTGTACCACTCATATTTTGAAATGGACTACATCAAAACTTCAATGAATAATTGCCCTCAGCATTCTTTGGTGTGGCACCTATTTTATCACTGCAGAGGGCAGTGATTGGAATCTAGAAGTGGGAAAACGATTAGATTTAGGGGCCTCAATGGTCTCCCCAGCAGCCCATAGAACTTGGATAGAAAACCCTGTGCTATGAAGGCACTTGCAGAGTCACACAGTTGTTACCACTGCTTACAACCAAATGTCTACAACAGAACTGTATCAGAATTTGAGCTAGTGATATGAGTGATGACATGAGATGTTGTTGGCGTGATTTGATGTGTGTTGGTGGCTCTCTGTGTATAGTAGATGGAGGCCATGCTGCAGTGTCAGATGAGAGGCTAGAGGAGAAGGACTACATTACAGTGGAGTGGAGCCCTGGGCCAGCCCCTCCCATCCCCAGCACAGCCAATGGACATGTCAAGAGGAAAAGGGGTGATATCATCCCTGGTCAGCATAGCAGCTACAGGGAGTTATAAATTGATAGTTATCTTAATGTAAACACACGCAAACAGGCACGCGCATACGCACACACATTCACACACACATACTGTATAAACACACACGCTCAATCACGCATGGTGGCACACACACACGCACACACGCACACACACACACACACACACACACACACACACACACACACACACACACACACACACACACACACACACACACACACACACACACACCACACACACACGTTTCTTAGGGACATACAGTACAATGAACAAGTCACTTTGATGACTAAAAAGGCATCTTGGTCACATCTGACGTCTTGACATACACACACACACATTACCCCCCACACCATTCCTCTTTCCTAATCATACCACGCCTCTTGCCTTTCTCTAGATGGCAGTCTAAGCTTTTGGAGAGGCATAGCAGAAGTTGGCCTGATGGGGGAGGTGTTATCCAGTTTCCGCACAGAACTGGTGGCCATGTTGAGAGGAGTGGAGGTCCGCAGTGAGAAGGCCATTTTGCAAGAGGCCGGTGAGCTTACACACTGGGAGACAGCTTCCCACAAATACTTACATAATACTTACATGTATGAAATATCAGAGAGTTTAAAAAAAATTATGTGGGTAACATGTACACTGAGTGTACAAAACATTAAGAACACCTTCCTAATATTGAGTTGCACCCCCCCCTTTTGCCCTCAGACAGCCTCAATTTGTCGGGGCATGGACTCTACAAGGTGTCGAAAGCGTTCCACAGGGATGTTGGCCCATGTTGACTCCAATGCTTCGCACAGTTGTGTCAAGGTGGCTGGATGTCCTTTGGGTGGTGGACCATTCTTGATACACACGGGAAACTGTTGAGCGCCTGTACTCAATGTATTTAGCAGGTTTATATAAAGGGAGGTGGATTGGCAAGAGTTTCCTAGATTTTTTTGGGGGGGGTGGGATTGGTTAATTTGTTTGACTGATTTATTTTAATTGCCTGTCTATTTGTTGTAACTGTAATGTGTTTTGTTGTGTCAGATGCTGTTGTACTGAACTCCCTTTCTGAGATGTTTGGGCTGCTGGACTCAGTTAGGAGGGTTCTGGACCTGAGACGCAGTAAGACTGATGACAACCAGCAGCAGGTCCACAATGCTCTTAATGGTGAGAGAATGTAAGCTTGGATGTGAGCTTGGAATGGGCAAATATACAGTACACTTAGAAAAAAGAGTTCCAAAAGGGTTCTTCGGCTGTCCCCATATGATAACCCTTTTTGGTTCCAGGTAGAACACTTTTTGGTTCTAGGTAGAACTCTTTTGGGTTCCATGTAAAGGGTTCTACATGGAACTCAAATGGGTTCTAACTGGAACCAAAAGGGGTTCTCCTATGGGGACAGCCGAAGAACCCATTTAGGTTCTAGATAGCACCTTTTTTTATAAGAGTGTAACATAAACATTGTCATATACAATACTCTATATCAGAGGCAACACCATTTGGACTGTACTTACAATAGCTAGATTTGGCTCCTTGCACTAAAAGTAACACCATTGCTTAAGTTATTTTTCCTTACCTGATATGTAAACAGACTATTACTATGTTAGGTTTCCTTATTTCACTGTTCATTACCTGATGTTACTACCATGTATCCTTCGTCAGTGCTGGAGGACCATTTGGAGGACCAGAGAAAGCCGAGGCAGGATGAGCCCCCACCCAGCCCTGGTCACCTCTACGTGGGCAGCTTCTCCAAGGCCATCCCCTCAAAGTGCCCACGGCTGCATCGCTCCAGCTCTTCCACCACCCAGCCTCAGAACCAGACCACCCGATCGTCCATCGTCTTATCCCCCATCACCACATCCCCAGTGGGTCAGCCTATCAATGTGGCCGGCCTGCCTGTGGGCACACTGGCCCAATTCCCCACCAGCTCCCAGCTCTTCACTTACTTCACCACTGGCAACACCTCTGCAGGAAAGAGAGGCAGTGCCGGGTCTGTGGCTCTCCATGCAGCCTCCAGGGTGACTGTGCTCAACACTACCACAGAGTCAGGGGTGGGGACCCCTCTACAGGTGCTTCATCTAACCCAGGAGAGGGAGCAGGAGTCTGGGGACATGGAGAGCCAGAGGCTGGGGCTGGGAGAGGAGAGGAGAGGATAGTACTTGTGCAGCACGGGCTACTAGTGGACACTTCAGGGATTCAGACACACTAGGCTGGGAACAGTGGGGGCTCAATCAGAGATGGAGGAAGAGGGGGAAGAGGAGGAGCAGGAGAGTGAAGGTACAGAAGGAAGTGTTGCATAATGTAGAGCATGTCTTTGGCAAGAAGAGGGCATTAAAATAACAGAAAACCAAGTGAGAGAAGAGAGAACCATAAGGAATACAGTTGAAAGAGAATAGAGTGAGCGAGCGAGAGAGTGTGTGTGTGTGACTGGGTGTCTGTGTGGAAGAGAGCAAGAAGGTGAACTTCACCATGTCATGTCATGTGTAACTCCACACAGACATTTCAGATTTTAGGCTATATGTGTAACATAATTTTAACGTACAGTACTTTTTCACATGGTGTTTATTACTGCAGGACCCATAGTACTTTAATTACCCATGGTCTTCATCATCAAGGACATTCAAATACTTAATGATAGGGGAGAGTGGGGTAAGTTGAGCCGTTTTTTACATTCATCATCACTCCGTCATGAGTGACAGATTTGATTACATATGGGCTTCAAAATGACAGCACAGACTGGGCAGTACTCTAGCAAGTCCAACGTTGTCGAAAGGATTTTGTGTGCAAACATTGGAATATTCCTTTAAATCTTTTTTCTTCCTCAGGTTTGCACAAGTTGAAATTCAAAAAGGTTGTTATCCATAATAAATAGAGTCACACACTATGCATAAGCTCGCAGAAATGTTTTGGGTAAACCACCAACGTTTCAGCATCATATTGCCTTCTTCAGGGTTATTATTTTGTATAGCAAAATATTTAGTGTTATTATTTATCATACTGAGAGTTACATAAGAGTTACAATGATGAAACCCGTGCTGGAGTGATTCAAGATAATACATGATATAGTACTTTTTAAACATTATAAGTACTTGTAATTTTTTTCATGCATTGTAATAAATACCCAGTTTGTATGGTTTCTATTGGATGGGTATACAACATCTATTGCAATTTATGCTTTATAAAGTATTCACCCTTTTCTTTATTGTTATAAAATACTTGGTAAGTTTGTTTAGTGTTTGTGACAAATATCAATTTTTTGATTCTCTTATACTGTGTTTGTAAACAGTGGAAATATCTGTATAGTATATGGCACCACCTGTTTGTGTGACATTTTCAGTCAGTGCAGTTTTATTTGATAAACTCTAATATAATCCACTCAGGTCTGCATCTAGACTTTTGTAATTAAATACCCAGGAAATGGAGCCCATATTTCACTATGCACTCCCCTCACCTAAACTTCATAGCACCTTTAATTGTGCACTACATTGAGGAAGACTGATAATGACAATTGTACAAACTTATTTGGTAAAAGTTTAATTAAAAACCCATTGCATATGAGATCTCTATCTGTGAATTCATTCAGCAGAAAAATGAAAGACCCATGACAACAACACACACTGTCATTGCTTTACATTTGGTTTACCTCAATTACCTCGACTAACCGGTGCCCCCGCACATTGACTTGGTACCGGTACCCCCTGTATATAGCCTCGCTATTGATATTTTTACTGCTGCTCTTTAATTATTTGTTACTTTTATTTCGTATTCAACAAAAAAATGTCACCATGTCATTGGATTTAGGTTAAAAGTTGGGTGAAAAAATGACGAAATTCCGTTGAATGTTTTGGTTGAAATGACGTGGAAACAATGTTGATTCAACCAGTTTTTGCCAAGTGGGATGAGGCTAGACTTAGACATAGTTTCTAGGCTATGCCTATATGGCTTGGGCCCTAAAAATTACATGCTTCCGCGCCAAAGGTTCACCATGGTCTGCCATTCAGATTGCGATGGCGTCGGTTTCCTCCTTACCAACTTTAAAGGTGAGCAGGCTTAAGCACAACTGGGAAAATATGCCTGCGGTTTAAAAAAATTCAATAATCCACCACTATGCTAGGTGTAGCTAACATTGTTCAGCCAATCTGATGGCTCCTAACAAACAGAGTCAAGTCCTGGTCCCTATATACGATATGAAAAATGATTGGCTGAATGCCAAACGCTACTTCCTGGTGTAGCACTGGCATGGTGGTGGAAATGTTGTTTTACTGTAGGCATATTTTCCCCGTTTTTTTAAAAACCTGCTCCCCTTGCAAGTTAAGGGAATAAACCTTTTATTTATTTATTTAACTAGGCAAGTCAGTTAAGAACAAATTCTTATTTACAATGGCGGCCAAACCCGGACGACGCTGGGCCAATTGTGCGCCACCCTATGGGACTCCCAATCACGGCCGGTTGTGATACAGCCTGGAATCGAACCAGGGGGTCTGTAGTGACGCCTCAAGCACTGAGATGCAGTGCCTTAGACCGCTGCACCACTCGGGAGCCTACACCAAGGCAGTCTGAATGGCGCATGTTTGATGTACCCGCTAGCTCAAAGCAACTATGGGTAGCTGCACCCCGGAGTAGTGGGCATGTGGGTGTGTTGAAAGGAAGGACTGGGTGTGTCAAAAGCACTCTGCTATAGGTTAGAGGTTTTGACTAGATGGTATACAGCTTATGTAAAAATAAAAAAATAATCGTAGCAGGTTAAGAGAATTAACGTAGCAGGTTAGGAGAATTAGCTTAAGGTTAGGAAAAGGGTTTTATTTTATTTTATTTAACCTTTATTTAAGCATGGAGTCATGGTGAGAACACGGTCTATTTCACAGATGAGCCCTGAATGAACACATCAATAAACAACAATTACACTATACATACAGTGTATCTATATACACATCAATTACACAATACATGTAAAGCAAACACAAAACACAGGTTAGGGTAAGGGTTAGATAAAATGTAGAAAGGGTTATGCGGAGCAGTAATAGACCAATTCGCTGCTTGCTTTCGAAACGCCCACTCCTTTCCACACGCCCATATTCTGATCACCATATTAGGCTGCAGCTACCCCCTTCTCGCTCTTGGGCCGAATGAATCCCAATAGACTATAGCTGCAGACCTCATCTCTCAGGCCCCTCTCATTGAGAAGGGTGTGATTGCGGTCTGCAATTCAGGTTTCCACTAGATAACACATCCACAAATAAAAAATGTTTTATGTTGTAAAAATTCATGAAAACAGAGATGTGCTTTTTTTTCTTAATTTAAGGCATAAGGTTAGCAGTGTGTTTAAGGTTAGGGTTAGGTTTAAAATAAGATTTAACAAAGATAAATTGTAAAAATAGGTTGGGTTAATGACTTTGTGGCTGTGTTAACTAGTGACGTCCTGCAATTTGGGGTGTTCCTACGTTTTAGAGTTAATTTTGTGCAATTCTACACATTTTTGCCATGGGGCAGAGAGGACAATAAGCTGTTTTACAGATAATTTCCTGCAATTCTACACATTTTGCCATAGGGCGTAGAGAAATGTTTGCAGTTTTTAATATGATATAATTGTATTTAACCTTTTACTGCATTGGGCTAAACGGAGGACTTAAACAAATCTACTTTGAAACAAAAGTATACACCTCAGACACATGGTTATGGGCTTAAATAAAATAAAACACCTGTACCATGTCAGATATAGAGTTGAAATGTATTCAATTTTGAGTTTGCATCCCAATATTACACTTTATATACATCACAGAAGACTGAAATATAACAAAACCATAATTTGACTGTAGGAAAGGGCTATGTTGAAGTGAGACTGACTAACTAAATCAATGCCCCCCGGCCGGTACCTCGACCATGATAACAAGTTTAGACAGCTGGCTGCTAAACTAACTTAGTAATCTAAAAAATATTTGCTGACATGGGCTAATTGACTATCAGTGTGTCAAGGGCTGAGGTGTAAGGTGTGTGGAAGTCAGGCGCAGGACACCGAAGCTAGTCCAACAAAGTTTACTAAAGTAAACCAAAAGGCGAACATACAGAGAACTGCCTCAACAAAAAACAGAGGCGAGCGAAATACGCAAACAGTGCGTAAAACAAATAAACACGAAAACAGGTACAAAACACGCAGCACAACGGACAGGCGAAAAACAACACACAATCTAGCCTAAGCAAAACAAGGAACAAGTAATCAACACACAAATGGACACAGGTGTAAAAGACAGACGAAAGCAATCACACCAAGAAACATAGAGCGGTGGCAGCTAGTACTCCGGGGACGGTGAACGCCGAAGCCTGCCCGAACCAGGAGGAGGAGCAGTCTCGGCAGAATCCGTGACACAGTGACTGACATACAGTGGGGAAAAAAAGTATTTAGTCAGCCACCAATTGTGCAAGTTCTCCCACTTAAAAAAATTAGAGAGGCCTGTAATTTTCATAATAGGTACACGTCAACTATGACAGACAAAATGAGATTTTTTTTCTCCAGAAAATCACATTATAGGATTTTTAATGAATTTATTTGCAAATTATGGTGGAAAATAAGTATTTGGTCAATAACATAAGTTTCTCAATACTTTGTTATATACCCTTTGTTGGCAATGACACAGGTCAAACGTTTTCTGTAAGTCTTCACAAGGTTTTCACACACTGTTGCTGGTATTTTCCTCCATGCAGATCTCCTCTAGAGCAGTGATGTTTTGGGGCTGTCGCTGGGCAACACGGACTTTCAACTCCCTCCAAATATTTTCTATGGGGTTGAGATCTGGAGACTGGCTAGGCCACTCCAGGACCTTGAAATGCTTCTTACGAAGCCACTCCTTCGTTGCCCGGGAGGTGTGTTTGGGATCATTGTCATGCTGAAAGACCCAGCCACGTTTCATCTTCAATGCCCTTGCTGATGGAAGGAGGTTTTCACTCAAAATCTCACGATACATGGTCCCATTCATTCTTTCCTTTACACGGATCAGTCGTCCTGGTCCCTTTGCAGAAAAACAGCCCCAAAGCATGGTGTTTCCACCCCCATGCTTCACAGTAGGTATGGTGTTCTTTGGATGCAACTCAGCATTCTTTGTCCTCCAAACACGATGAGTTGAGTTTTTACCAAAAAGTTATATTTTGGTTTCATCTGACCATATGACATTCTCCCAATCCTCTTCTGGATCATCCAAATGCACTCTAGCAAACTTCAGACGGGCCTGGACATGTACTGTCTTAAGCAGGGGGACA